GAGACATATCTATCAAAAGTTTGGTTATATATTTATTTTCAATTAATCTTTTGAACTTGTAAACCTTTATACACAATTATAAGGATTCTTCATTTTTCTTTATAAAAAAAAATAAATACACTTTTAAGATATTTTGAATATCAACTAATTCTTTTTAATTGATTTTTATCAATATATTTTTCAAAAGATGCTAATAATTTTTAGAATTCGAAGTATATAGATTCTAATAGAAATTTAATTTCTTTTCATACATCAATTATGCAATTGTAAAGAAAATATTGGTATAGAATGCTATCAATTTTAAAATAAAATAAAATTAATACATCTTAGTAATCTTTTATTTATATTTAAATTTTCTTAAAAAAATACTAAAATAGATAAGTAATAAATAAATAAAGAAAAACAATAAATATTTCTTATATAAATACTATTGTTTTCAGAAAGTTAAAGTTTTAAATTATTATATCTAAAATACAATAAATTATATAAAAACCAGAGATGGAATTTCTACTCTATTAAGAATTATAAAATTTTAATATTAAAAAAATAAAAATTAAATTAGTTTTTAAATTAATAATATCAAATTAGAATATTATATATATATATAATTTTATAAATAGCATCTTAGTATGAAAAATATAAATTACTTATAACTTTTATTAATATTAGCTTAATTTTTTGTTTGGATGTCAAATATCTTAATTAAATTACACCTTTTCAATGGTATTTTAAATACAATGAACAACTAGGAGATGTTATTATAATAATATGGTACATCTAAAGATACACAAATTTCTCCAATCTATATTTAGAAATATTCTTTATAATTTCTTAAAAGAGATATTATTTTCTAATTTTATTTATATAAACTTATATTTATTGTTACTTAATTTAATCATAAAAATAAAAAATATTATAAATTTATATTTAATCTATTTATAATTTAATAATTATAAAATAAAAATTTGTAAATTTAATTTTTTTTTATCTCTGTTATATTGTTTTAAAGATGCACATAAATGAATGATATATGCATCTTTAAGAAAAAATTCAGAGTAGTTTTTAGCAAGAATCACTTTAAAAATTTAGGAATAGATACCTTTAAAAAACTAGTTGTGAACCATGGTCAAAATCAAATCCCAAGGTACAAAATTGCACACATATGGTGATATTAAAGTTCTTTTGTTGATAGAAAAGTAAGATCAGAAAGTAAACTATAAAAGGTTTGTTTAGAAATTGTCTTCAAGTGATTTAGATTAATTTTGATTTGTCAAGAGTATTTTGAAGTCAAAGATGTTTTAGTAATTTTGGTTTTTGAAAAATAAAAAGAGAGATTATACATTTAGGAAATTTTGGAAGTATTATAGTAAATGGAGAAGCACAATTTTATAAAGCTATAAATTTGATTGTTTAAAATGTATTCTAAAAATTAAAGATAAATTTAACAATTAGGTTGAAGAGTTTTAAAATTTAAATGGTTTAGAATTTTAAATATTTGACTTTTAAGATCAATGAGAATTTTAAAAGATTATATTATTGGATTTTTTTTTGGATATTAAATTTAGTTTTTATTAGTTTTGTCAATTTTAAGAAAAAGTGAACAATTCAATATGGAGTCATTATTATTAAAAGATCAACATTAAGATCAACATTAAGATCAAAAACTGAGCATGGCCAATACCTGGGTAATCTATAATTTATTTTTTTAATTGATAATTCCATTTTTTTCTAAAATTATTGTATATATTATCAATTAGTATATTGCAATGTGTGTATAGTTTTAAAGAAGATCCAGAATTTATACAATGGTTATTAAGGTTTTAATTTTTCATATGGATTGATTAGGATTTATTTAGGATTTATTTAGGATTTTATGATGGTTGCTTAGGCTTGTATCATAGTTTATTTAGGATTTGTTAGAATTTTTTTAGGATTGATTAGGATTTTTATAAAATTTATAGGATTTCATTAGATTTTGGTGAAGATTTGGTTAAGGTTTATTTGATATATCTTTAGGATTATTATTTTTATGATTATTTTCATTATTTTTAGAGATTCTTTTGTAATATATTTAAAACTTCTTTCAGATTTTATTAAAGTTCAACTAATATTTTTAAGACTCAATTGGAATTTATTTAGAATTTTGTTAGGATTATTAGAGTCTTTGTTTGATCTAATTTCTAATTTACCTTCCACAATTAAGTGCTTGATGAACTACCAAGTAAGACAATATATTATATGATAATGTAACCTTTAGAATATTAATGATTATAAAAAATAAAGTCTTTTTTGGATCATATTTTAAAATAAAAGAAGATAATTTTTCTTTTAAAAATAAATAAATAAATAAAGCTTAATGCTCAATTTATTTCATCATTAAAAATTGAATCAAGCAATTGACTTTATTGTGAAGTGTGACAATTGATTTTTTGAAATATGTGACAACGTCTTATATATAAATCTTGTATGCCAATTAAAATTTAGTTTGGACCACAAAATCATTTTTAAGCAAGGATTTTTTTTTAAAAAAATTAAATAAAGATAGAATGTATAAAAATGTTATACTAAAAAAAATTATTTTTAAAACATCAACTATAAATTGATTCAAATAAAAAAATTGATTATTATGATATATGTGTATAATAATATATACTAAAATTAGGACTTTATGCTTTGTTTCAAAAATGACATATTATAACTAATCATTAAGGTGTTACTAAAAAAAAACTATCTAATTTAGATAGATGGATAGACGTACTATCATATACCTACCTTCCAAAAAGCCTTATTTATATATTTGTTTCCTAACGTGTAATGTTGATATATTAATAAGTTATAAAAAAAATAAAAATAATAAGTAAATATATTTATATTATTTATAAATAGTGCTTTAAATTGTATGCAATCAAATTTTATATCTATTTATTTTTATAAATTACAAATTTATAATCAAATTATATCTCTTTGTTCACTTATTATAGTTTTTTTTTCGTATTCATTATGTTACTCGTGCAATAGAAAAAAAAAATTGTACTTATATTAATTTTTGTGTGATTTTTATATAAAATTTATTGTTTTATCATTTTTTTAATATAATTTTAGATTCTTATATTATATGATATGCTTTAAATAAATATAATTCAAAATAATACACACATATATACACATTTAAAAAATAATCAATAACTGTATGTGTCTATTATGAAGTAGGTTCTAATTGAAATTGAAATCAAAGAAGAATTTTGATAATAATATTTTATTATCATCATGATCTAAGATCAAAGATGGAAAAAATGAGGTTTTCATGGATAATTTCTTTTTTTTGCAAATAAAAAAATTACTACGGGTTTTGTAACTAATTACTAATTGGAGAAGACTTATATATATAAATATATATATATATATATTATACATAAAAATACTAGAATGTTTCTTTTTTAATTGCATTATAAGGTAAATATTATTTACAATTTAATTTTTATTCAATTAAATTTATTTTATTACAAATAACCTACTTAAAAACATCTTCACCTTCATATTTCTTATAAATAAATAGTAGTTTCTTAAATTTTTTTGATAACATAAAGATAACGTCATTTTAAAAATCAATACAAATTGTTCATATATATATATATATATATATATATATATTTATATTTTTTTAATTCTTAAAGTTTATTTTTAAAATATTATTAGTTATCATTAAAACATTAATATTTATTGCAAAATAACATGTTTTTAATGTTATTTATTCTTTCATGTACAATGTGTGCCTTAGAAATCATTTACCAGTTTTTATGTACCATAAAACTTTGCTAATAGTTCAAAAAATAACTATATGTATAGATATATATATATATATATATATATAGTTATGAAAATATCATACCTATAATCTAAGAATATTTATTCTTAAGAAAAAAATAATTCTAAACTCATCAAATAATAATATGTATAATTTTTCTCTACTACCTACATATGTTTTAATATTTATATTATTTTTTCAATAAATCTGACCTCTTAATTTTAGTAATTTAATTCATTACACATTGAAAATTTGATAATAATATGTTAATATTAAATTCATTTATTACATATTAATAAATATTATCTATAACTATTTTCTATCCTTTCATAATAAATTGCAATTCAGTAAACTCAATGTATTTTAACAATTTTTGTGCTATTGAATAAAATGAATTGTTGGAGCATTTCAAATTGATGTATTGTATCTTTTGTGTTCTTAGAAGAATATTTACATCATCTAATTTCTCAATTGCCTACGTAAGATATTTCTAACACACTACCCGAAAAGCATAGATACTAATATTAAACAAAGACAACAATACCTAAGTTATTACAATTTTCGGGTAATACGAGCAACCCAATTACACTTTCAACGAAGCCAAAGAGAACGAAGAGCCAAGAGAAGCCTACCAATAGCCAATGCTGCGTCGAACTCGCAATCCAAGCTTACGACCCAGCGGGACTCCGATAAACGGAGCCGGTGAGCGAGCGAACGGGAATCGTGGATGAGCAATCGGCATCAGGCCACGGCACAAGCTGCGCGATGAGCCGACTCACAACGACTTTGTCCTGGATCAACAATCTCGACACGAGGGTTTTATGGGTAGAAAAAAAAAAAAAAAAAAACAAAAAACAAAAAACAAAAGCGAAAGCAGATGATGATGCTGGAGCACTCCTCCGAACGCCACCGATTCACCGAAAGACGGCACCGAATGACGACGACGACGAGCTCCGGATCGACGATGGCAACGGCAGCGGAGTCAGAGTTCGAGGCGACACAATTGGCGAAGCTGCATGAAGAGTACTTCAACCACCTAAACCTGCGCACCTCGTGATCCTGGATGGTAGAGGGAATGGGGGGGGGGGGGGGGGGTGGGTCGGTAGTGAATTGCATGGTAGGTAGTGACGTGGCAGACGATATTGTTTCCACCCGAAAAGTGTATCCCCTTGTGGATGACGACTCAAAAGCACTGGAGCTCGCAGTGCCTCCATTTGTGGAGTGAGTTAGAGCGAAAGAGAGCTTGCAGGGAGCTGAATCCAGTAGAGTTTTAGCTATTGCAGTGTGGATTGGCATTGGCATTGGCATTGGCTCAATGCGGGATTTGGTGGTGGTTTTTGTGGTATTGCGTGGTTCTTTGTTGCTGAGGCGCGGGCTTTCGCTCTTGTAGAATGAGGAGGAAGAGGAGGAGCTTGACTTGATGCTGCTATACCCTCTCTAGCCACCACACATTCTCGATTCTCTGTTATCTTGTTCCGAATCTAGTTTGGGTTTTGGAGCGTTTGTAATTTTTAGGCTTGCGTTGAGCTGCAGAGGCGGATTTAGTTAGTCATGGCTGTGGTACATGCTTTACTGTCTCTGCCGCATCCTGCTGCTGGTAAATTTATTCAATCCTGGTGTGGTTTTTGAGTTTTGGATTGTTGAGTTTTTTTTTTTTTTTTTTTTTTTTTTTTTTTTTTTTTTGTGTATTGTAGTGCCGGGATTTTGAGGGTGAAGCGTTGGGTGGTGATGCTGGATTGGGATTCGAATTAAGGGTTTTTGAGGATCTAGTCTTGGTTGTTGCAGGAAATCCTTTGCAGCTATCTGTACAGAGTAATTCAAGGAATACGTCGGCGTCAGCTGGACGCCTGTCGTCTTTATCCAGTAGGCCTTGCTTAGGAGGCTTGGTATCTAGGTCTTCAAAAACTAAATGGATTTCGACTAGAGGCGGTTGCAGAAGGGCTTGTGTAGTAAATATGCGATTATCGAAGTCGCAGTGTAAAGAGCAAGGACAAACCGAGTGTAGTAATGGGGAAATTGCGTCTACTTCAGCTATCGTGGCAAGAGAAGCTAGTAGCGTTCAATCCCCGCGGTGGAGACTTCAAATTCTTCCTAGAAACGTTGCGCAGGTGGGTGTGAAGGTGCCCATGTATTTGATTTTGAGGTTTTGAAGGAATATTATGGTGGATAGCTTTATATTTAATGAAACTTTAGCTTCGAAATTGGATGTTCTGCATCAGTTGATAGCCAGAGGTTTTGGTTACACTTCTTGAAATAGGCATTTTTCTTCATTAATTCAGCATCCATTGAAAGCCACAACAGCTCTATTAGCTGCCAGCTTCTCAAGTGATTGGCTAATGTTTTGTCAATGTCGATTTGCGACATTCAGACAACTTTGGTTGGGCACTCGAGCTGGATGCGCATTTTTTGTTTTTTGTGTTTTTTCGGTTACCGTTTCTACTCCTACTTGATGATGTGACGTACCTACAATCTTGTACGCAGGGATTTGCATTGCAAGCTGCGGCAGCTGTTGCAACGGGGTTTTTGCTATGGGGTGGATCAAGCGCGTTGGCTGCTGACCCTCTAAAAACATGCTCATGTCTTCTTAAGGAATGCCGGTACGTATAATGTGTCTGCAGTAACCTTCAGATTATTGGAAATACTTGCATCTAGAAATTGTTTGAAAACTGTTTAGGATGGAAAATATTTGCTCAGCGCCAATTAGTGGGATTTTACGCAGGCCTCTATGAATCGATGCGTGAATATGTGTCATGGAATCTTGGTTGAGGTTATTTTTGCAGCTCTTCATTTGGTTGATTGGTTGCGTAGGGTGGAATTAGCGAAATGCATTGCAGACCCGAAGTGTGCAGCTAATGTAGCATGTTTACAAACCTGTAATGGACGACCTGACGAGACCGAGTGTCAGGTCTGGCAATTCACCAGCTTTCTCTTGTTGTTGCTCAGTGTTGCGCAAATTGATTATTGTTCCTGGTGGTTCTGTTCTGTGAAGTCTGATCATTTTTGTTGTGTGATTTAATGTTGAAACCACACATACCTGTCGTTAGTAACAGATGAACCGTTATTATTTTAGAGGAGATTTTGTGGGAGTTTATGAGAATGATGCGCATGTTTAGTCTCAACTTGCGTAAGGATAAAAGATAAAGTGCAGGAAAGTTTTGAACAAAGATTACATCTTACACGTAGGCACACTTGGCTATATCTCTGGAAATCTGACGGTGAAAATGTCTTGCAGATTGGTTGTGGTGATTTATTCGAGAACAAAGTTGTCGATGAATTCAACGAATGTGCTGTAACAAGAAAAGGCTGCGTCCCTCAGAAGGCTGATGAAGGTCGCTTCCCGGTGCCCGCTCCATCCAGCTTAGTGCAAGACTTTGACACTACACGCTTCACAGGGACATGGTACATCACCAGTGGTTTGAACAAAACTTTTGACACTTTCGACTGTCAAAAGCATGAGTTCACAGCAGAGCCCGCAAAATTATCAGGTGTGTGGTGAATTGATTTGTTTCTGTTTACTGGCTCTGAAGCTAAGAACAGTTGTACAGTACGAGAACTCAGCATCGAGGTTTTTTCTGGTATTTGATCAGTTTTCGATTCAATGACCAAGAGGTGGTAGTTTTTAGCTTTTACACTGATTGAAGTTGGGGTCTTTAATTGTGAACTTTGTCCGATTCCGGTTCACATGTTTATCAATTGTGCTGAACTAGCTTTCATAATGTGTTGCAGGAAATCTGAGCTGGCGAATTGCTACTCCAGATGGAGGCTTCTTCACTCGTTCTACTGTGCAGAACTTCGTACAAGACGAAAAGCAACCAGGAATCTTATTAAACCACGGAAACGAGTTCCTCCACTATCAGGATGATTGGTATAAACTGCTGTCCTTGTTTTACCTTTAGGCTTAAGATCCCTATTTCTTACCATCTATTTTCGCAGTACTGGAGATTGCTTTATTCCTGAGGGAGAAATTGTAACAGGCTCACTTGTTCATTGTGTCGTACACACTGATTAAGGTGAGGTCTTTTGCATTGAGGTTGTCTGATGAAGTTAGGGTCTTGGAGGAAATTTCCTTTTCACAATTTCGTGATGTAGTTGTGGCTCCAGAAAATAAAATATATCACTCCAGTCAATGAAAGAGTTGTCTTAAATCAGAATATCATCTGAGTGATGCATTGAGCTGCATGGATAATACCGGAGGTTGATCACCTACCTAATGCAAATGGAAACTGCATGCGAGTCTTGAATTTGTACACATCGCAACCTCTTTCAGGTACATTCTCGCATCAAGGATAGAGAACAAGCCGGATGACTATGTGTTTATCTATTACCGAGGCAAGAATGACGCCTGGGATGGATATGGAGGAGCAGTCGTTTACACCAAGAGCTCAACACTGCCAACCAGTATCATCCCCGAGCTGGGGGCAGCAGCGAAGAAAGTAAATCTGGATTTCAAGAAGTTCACCACAACTGACAACACATGTGGACCGGAACCGCCATTGCTTGCCAGACTGGAAAAGAAGGTAACGTCCCACAAACCAGTTGCAGTGCTTTCATTGTCACTGAAGTGCCAACATCCTAGTGAGATGGCAGTAAAAGCTCCAGCATTGGCTGCAGCAGTGAATTGTTGACAAGCTTAGCTTTGGAAAACTTGCAGGCGGAGGAAGGAGAGAAATTCCTGGAGAAGGAGGTGGTGGAAGGGGAGAAGTTTGTGGAGAAAGAAGTGGAGGAAGGAGAGAGCTTCTTTGTAAAGGAGGCACAAGAGGTGGAGCAAGGTGGCGAGAAGATTATCCAGAAGCTGGGACGACTGTGGGCTCAGCTGACCAAAGGCGCTGAAGAGGTGCGGCGTGACGAGGAGCAGCTCCTCAAGGAGCTTGGAGAGTTCGGAAAGAGTGCTCAAATGAACGAGGAGGAGTTCATGCAATCTTTGGGAGATGAAGAGAAGAAATTGCTTGAAGACTTGGGGATGCAACCATCTGACGTTGGAAAGCTATTTGGAAACTCCGTTCCACTACGCAAGCTTCGGTAGAAATCCCTCAGTATGTGGTCCAGGAATTGTGTGTTTCTTCCCATTTGAGAACTTATGTACTTGACTACCATCAAGCACATCAGATTTTGGCTCGTCAGAAAAAGCCCAGCAGCTTGTGAATTCACGTTAAAAAGAGAGGTTTTCTTCAAACCTGTTGTCTGTTGTTGGCTCTAGAGACGAGATAATTGTACTGAACATGGATGAGTTCCGAACGAAGCTCTGGAAATCACTGCAATTTGCTAGTTCTGCTTACTTTGCACGAATTTTTGGACCTCATGTTTGCCCTGAAATCCGAACCCAACTGCCCCAACTTGAAGAAATCGAAGTGATGTGTATTTTGGGAAGGAAGGTCACATCCGCTTTCACTGGTATGGAAGATTGTGCCAAAAGAATCATTTTATTACTTATAATTATTCTTCGACTTCATGAATTTAGGAATGAACTGAATTAATGGTATTTTTGCAATACTAATATCAAATTTCGGTAGTTGTCACATATTGTTGAATTTGTACTTTCCTTAACTGCATAGAGATGACATCTATTCAATATCTTCAAACTATTTTTCAGCAAAAAATTATAAATTTTCAATGATATCACTTATCTTGTATGATGACAAAGTTGTAAATTGTCTATGAAGATTAAATTATTTACTGTATAAAAATAAAATTGTAAACACACTCACGAAGCATTTCCGGATTAGGGGTTAAACAGCATGCGCCTATAACCGTGGGCATGCTTTGGCATTGTGCTCGCAAGCAGCGGCATATTGATGGAAAGGAGTCGGTCGAAGAGGAAACATTGTGAGTAGGATATTTACAAACCCACATGGTTAGAATGTGATGAGGAGGAAGGGTTCAGGGTGTGGGTCGAATTTGTGTTGATCCCTGTGTAATCTGTGATGTGTTCGCAAGCTATGGCGCTCGGAGCTCCGTCGTTGCACTTCTCGTGCCTGGCTCCTCGTCTCACCACAGCTCTCGTACTATCTTCTAGGCTTTCAAGAGGTTTGGCACGTCAGCAGAAGGTTTTTATCACTCCTGCTCTTGTCGGAGGGGGCTCGAGTGGGAGGCGTAGGAGCTTCTCAGCGCGAGCTCAACGAGACGAAGAAGCGGCTGCCAAAGCTGCGGCCCTGAATGTGGATGCTGGCGCGCCGACGATTTTTGACAAGATTGTGAAGAGGGAAATTCCTGCTACGGTTGTGTATGAGAACGTCAAAGTGTTGGCGTTCAGGGACATTAATCCACAAGCGCCGGTGCATGTGGTTCTTATTCCGAAGGAGAGAGATGGATTGACGCAGCTCAGCAAGGCGAGTGAGCGCAACAAGGACGTGCTAGGGGAGCTTCTATTTGCGGCCAAAGTAGTGGCGGAGCAGGAGGGCCTTGTCGAAGGGTTTCGTGTGGTGATCAACGATGGGCCCCAGGGCTGCCAGTCTGTATATCACTTGCATTTGCACTTGCTTGGAGGCCGGCAATTGAAGTGGCCTCCAGGCTAACTAGAACCTGAGTCAGTTATTGTAAGCAATGAGTTTCTGAAATCAATCTGAGGAGGCTAATGCTGTTTTCAAAATTTCAAAATTGAACCTGATGCCAGAGGTTTTGAGTGTTTCTATGGATCTCGAAGTATGTTTTAGAAGGGTGTCATTGTGCAGATCTTGAAGTTCATCTGTTGTTGACATTGAAGTTAGAGGCTCACGATATTCTTGTCAGGCAATTGGGCTTTCTCTCACCGAAAACAGGTGATTAGAATTGGTCGCTGAGCAACAGGGTATAATTTGAACTGTGTACAACCAACTATGAGCATGAAATGCTTTGGGATAATGATGTCAGCGAGTAAATGCATGTCAAGGGTTTCTGCTTGCAGTTTGTTAAGAGTGCCTTTCTGTAGTAAGACCAAATGTGCGATCATCTGTGACAAGCTATGTAATGACATCTCTGAATGCTTCCACGTTGGCAAAATTCATGTTGTGCTGGCTATGCAGACGTTGGGAATGTTTCTAGAAAGTAGTCCCAGCTATTTATTGGACAGCGGATTCCTTTTCGTCGAATAAAGCAAGTGCCATCGGAGCTCAGCGAAAACACCACAGCGTGAGGTGACAGTCAATCAAGGGCTAGCAGAACTGCAGCCAAGATCTCCATAACTATCTTTAGAAAATCAATATGTGTATCCTTCACAATGTACAGTAGTTTTGAAAATGTCTAAAATGTCACATTCGATAAGTTTGTGACAATCACTCTCGATGCATGCAAAGCTTTAGCACTGACTTCACATCAGAGATCAGCTCACGTCTGTTGCTGAAAATCCTCAGTGACCAGAATTGTTACACTGTGAACAGCATGCTACCCTCCAAGTGTTCGATTCCAGTTGTTTATTCCAAGCTTTCTGCACCTTTTGCTGAGGAGTACTTAGCAGCTAATCAACATCTGGTGGGTTCAGGTTCAAAACTCAATCGTGTGTGCCTTGTGTATTAAATCTTGTATCATGTTGTCTTCCAACTTGTGAATTTGGCACATTCTAGTGTTAAAAACACCATGCAGATTTCCATGCAGATGGTCTGCAGGGAAGATGGGACTAGCATGATTAATTCATCAAGTGCGTGCTATGGGAAGATGGGACTAGCATGATTAATTCATGATTAATTCATCAAGTGCATGCCATGGGAAGATGGGACTAGCATGATTAATTCATGATTAATTCATCAAGTGCATGCCATGGGAAGATGGGACTAGCATGATTAATTCATGATTAATTCATCAAGTGCATGCCATGTATCCATATTCATCTCCTAATTATCTATCATGTTTTTGTAGAAATTGAAACATCTCATCCACATAGACATACTTCATGTTGTGAGTAAATGCTAACAAATACAAGTCGAAATTGAAAATGAAAGATAGAAAAAATAAAGACATTCCAACATTCTTTAAGTATAGTTTGATGTTTTATAATGTTTATTGATTTTGGTTTTTTTTGTAAATTTCATTAGAAACTGAAGAGGTCTTTATATCTAAAGATTCACTTCGTGAGGCAATGGTGGAAAAGCCTCACAAAGGTTTTTTGTTTGATAAAGAAAAAGTTTTTTTTGGAAATTGTGACCTTTGAATATAGTAGAAATTGAGAAGAAGTATCACAAATATACATATTTACTCTAATATTTTCCTATGTGATTAAGTAGAAATAGGTAAAAGTAGATTTATTCCATAATATTTTTTAGACAATGCTTTGACTTTACATGTGTTTGTAATTGATTAGTCAATTAGAAACTTGATTAACAAGTTAATCACATGTTGATATCTTACAAAATAAGCTAACTATATCGTATACATATAGAAAACTTGCCTTGTAAGTTAAGATATGTGTCTTGTAAAGTCAACACGTTTTAGAGGTCTTGTAGGATATTGTTATATAGCTCTTAGTTAAGAGTATATATAGAAGCAAGAGTAAAGCCTTCTTCACTCTTGTCAATGCCTCTTTAGTCCTTTATCTTGTTTCAAGACTTTCTAGTCTTCTTGTCTTTGGTAATAGCCACTCTAATTTAATAGTATATCATTTATGAGTGATTTTTTAGTCTTTTTGAGTGATACAAGAATATATTGACATTTTAATTCTTTGAGATTTATGTCCTTGAAAATTTAACATTGTTCTTGTGTTTTTTTTAGAAATAAGTAGATTACCTCACTTCTCTTCTTGTGATTTGAAGGTTGTAAATTATCCACGTTTAAATAATTTTTTAAATTTTTTAATACTGATTTTTTCCTTAAAAAAATTAGATTATCTTTCTTTATAAATTTTTTTATTTGATATTATAAGTTGAAGATTATTCTCTTCTAATTTAATTTGTGGATTTGCCAAGTTGTTTGAAACAAAAGGAAAAATCATGGATGTTATACTTAATAGAAGTAAAAATAGATTTGTAACTATTGTAGATCTTTATAAACTTGATAACACTTTTAGAATGAAAATTTCACACATTATTAATGCCAATCAAGAAAATACTAATCTTATGCATATAAAAGAAGTTTAGAATCTATATCAAAAAGTTGTGCAATTGAAAGAAGCAAGTAGATTGACCTTATAATCAAATTCTAAAAATTTTGCTTCTACAAGTATAATGGAGGCAAAGATTAATATGCCCCAGAATTTTGATAGAACAAGATCAAAATTACAACAAGTCAAGCTCTACTTAAGATTGCATTCCTTTCAATATTCTAATGGATTTACTCAAGCTGGGTTTATAGGCGCACTTCTATTTGAAAGTACTCTCCATTGATTTATACCTTTGATAAAAAAAATATTTATAATTCTTTTATGATTTGAATTTATTCCTACAAGTGTTTACAGTTATATTTGGAGAAAGTGATTAAGAAAGAATAGTAGAGACCAAGTTTTTATCTTTATGATAAGAATCACGGTTAGCCACTATATATATTGCTAAAATCTAAAACATTTCTTTTCATATAGCCTAGAATGATAAAGCCCTTATCAATCAATTTTGATATGGATTGAAGGACAACGTTAAAGATTTCTTATTGACAATGCCAAAAGTAGAATTTTTAGAATAATTTATTGCTCAAGCTTTTGCATACAACAATTGATTATTTAAAAGGTGTCAAGAACAAAGATTTTATTGGAGAAGAACAAATCCAGTAATCATGGCATTTCTTAGGTTTTCAGAAACTTATTCTAGTTTCTTTTTAATATACATATTTTCTTACTTTTATTTTGTCATACTTCTTTAAAAAAAGTCTCACTTCATTATTTTCTTTCATCGGATTACATGGCAATATTAGTAATGGCAATTCTTAAGTTTTCAGAGACTTACTCTTGAATCTAGACTAAAGAAATAAAGAAGATGACAAGAGTGAAAAAGACTTCATTTTGCCTCTATATATACTATCTACCTAAAAGTTACATGGCATTGTTCTATAGGACCTTTAACATGTGTTGACTTTACAAGCCACATGTCTTAATTTGTAAGACAAGTTTTCTATGTGCATGTTGTCGAGGTAGAGAATGTTTGTCTCAAAAAAGTACTAGATTCTTGGCTGTCACTAATTACTCAATAAAGTCTTGAGGTAAGAAAGACTAAGTTTATATATATATATATATATATATATATATATATATGTCATTTATAGGAGAAATTACATCAAACATATAAGTCTAAAGTTTCCAAAAATATCCAAAATATAATTAAAAATTCTAAATCCTTATACTTTATGGGATACTTTATGGGATATTATTCTTAAACTTCAACAACTCATATCTCCCAATTGAACCGTTCAAACATACTCAAATTTTATATGAAGTTCTCATGTAATTTTAACAACTACCACAACAAATTTTAATTACAAATTCATTGCAGATCTTAAGATATCGCCAAAATCCTAATAGTATCTTCAAATTCTAGTTTTTATATACATGCATGTAATTTTCTTCATATCTCACAAACTAAGAATTTAAATTCCACAAAATATATATATATACAAAAGCTATATATATATAGCTTTTTAACACATTAATCTACCTTCTTTAAAAGGTTTGAACCAAAAATTTGTTTGAAAACTCAAGATATGGCTCCAACCATTACTATGAATAAAATCACTCACTTACTGCCTTTGATTTGAATGCACTAATTTCAACTCTCTATAACTTCTTTATTTAAACTCCAAATATAATAATTCTTTCATAAAAGATGTAAGTCATAAAATCACTATTCTAGTCGCATCTTTTGATCTCTAAAAACTGCCGTAAAACTCTTCATATGCTCAAAAGAGCAATAATATATCTTAAAATAATACCTTAACTTCAAATGGCTATAACTTCTTCATCCTAACTCCAAACTCACTAATTTTTTTGTCCAAATTGTAGTCTAAGTTCTAAAACTTATAATCTTAGCTTTTGATTTTCAAATTTTTTTTCAAATCACTGAAAAACTCTTCTTATGGTTGCAAACCGCCTCCTAAAAGCCTATTGAATATGACCTTCAACCAAAAGGAATGAAGATCCTCATTCCTTGCCTTCATCCGACCATGCCTTGCTTTCATCCCTCCCAATAAGCCTTGTACTAGTTTAGATTTTCATCTTTAGGCTTTAATCTCTTTTCAAGGCTTCATACTAAACATTTAGGTCTTATAATTTTTTAAATGCCATAATCAAAATAGATAAAACTCAAAATAAAGTTTCTTATATCCACTCTCTTTAAATTAATCTATTAATAATTCTAATACACACCAAGACCTATAAACATATTATATATTTTAATTAATTTTTACATATTATAAATAATTATACTACAACAAAGCTTTTAGTCCAATCACTTCATATACAAATCATAAGATCTTTGAGTACATCATATCAATACATATTTTGAATTATTATTAAGCTTGTTGGAATAAATCTTTATCAAGATTTGATTTTAAGATTACTTATTAATCCAAAAAATAACAAGATTTGTCAAATATTCTTATCTTGCATCAAAAGAAGGAAACATAATTATTGATCAACAAAGAACAATCCTCTTGAAGCTAAAGTATTTTCATCTTTAAGCAATAAAATCAACACTAATTATTGATTCAATCTTTATCAAGAAAATTCAATCAAGTATGTCCTCTAATTTCCTTGTCTATGATATCAAGAATAATTCTTTTAAATCTCATGATACTTTTAAGTTCAAGTTCAAGAATAATTTATTTTATTTTGATAGATAATTGTACATTCTAGAAGGCAAAGCACAATTATGTATTCTTCAAGCTTGTCATGACTTTCTAATAATCAAATATTTTGGATATAATAAGACTTTAGAGCTAATATCAATAGATTT